GTCGCAGGCACAAAGCTCGACACATACCTTAGGATCATTTTGACGGTTTTGGCAATGCTCATTTGTAGTTTGCTACCTCAGATAACATCACAACATCTTGGAGGGTGGGTGAAAATCAATGAATGTACCCATCAGTTATGGATACAAAAATGATGTGGAGCTAAAAATTGTAAAGAAGGTGTGAAATAGGGGAATGGGAGGGGGGCACGATGAAGATATGGGGAAAAAAAATACTTCCCCTTTAGCAATACAATCCATTTTCACATGTTAGTGGAGGAGCTGCACACTGTGACTGAACAAGTGTGAAGCAGGACATAAAAATAAAATCTGAGTTTGGGAAGAAGGCATTGGGGCGGTGTCTTTTTACCCCCGCGTCAAGAGCGCTCGGTGCCAACAGCCGCCTGCTTCCAAAAGCTTTTCAAACGTGCTCAGTGGCTTTGAAGCACATCCACAGCCTAATGCAAGTAATAATTAGTGAAGTGCTGCTCGCCCCTATTATTCACACATAATAAACTCAAATTATTAGCCTCGGAAAAGTGGACATTTGCAAATGATTAAAGGTGAGTCGTAGAAAATAGGCTAAAAAAATATATGAATTTCCAGAGATGTCAGTTTGTACTGAAAGTAAAAGCTCAACAAAGAGCACAAGTCTGTAAGTTATATAACCGGAGTGATGTACAAAATAATGTACTAATAGACAAATGATTGCTAATAAGAACAAAAAGTAGCATTACTTTTTTTTGAAGGTGCATAAGCAAGTGTGCTATGATACGCACAATGCTTTTGCAGTTATTATTACCTTCTGGGTGTCATGATGTCTTTGTATGTGTGTGTGTTTCAAAATGGCCACCACAGCCAACTGACCTAAGGGAAAGACAAAAATGGCTATTGCTCAGTCAATTTTACAAATATTGAGCCAACATTGATGTGGTGGAAACAGATAGATTTTCTGAACATAGATTTTCTGTTCACTAAAGCTCGCTACGTACTTCACAAACCATGACATCTTTCTCGCTGTCGTGCTTGTGAGGCATTCTTTCTTGCATGGACACTTTTAACGCTGAGAAAAAAGCAGGAGGTAAAAGTCCTGGTAAGCCCTCCCAGTGAAGCACGTCACACACCAACAGAAGCAACACAGCGACAGTGCCGTTAGCAAAGTGGGTGTTTGTTCACAGTTGCTAGTTGGAGGAGGCAGGTATTGGTCCAGCTCTGGAATTGTTCACTGAAGAGAGCAGTAATTAGCATATGTGTCACAAAGAGACCACCACCATTTCTGACAGGGTGGGACTGTGACACCACGGTCTGGCCGAGTCAGACTGCGTCCTGGCCAGCACTGCCACAAGAGCCACTATGTCTCTGTGTGGTCTCTTTTATCAACAAAATATCTCCTTCCACAACTTCTTTGACTAGCTTTATAAGATTTACTTGACTATTCATACAACCTTTATTTATACAGGTTAATCCCATTGAGCCTCGGGGACTCATTTACAAGAGAGACCTGAACTATCTTTGTAGGGTTTGATGAAACTGTGCTAAAGATGGCTGTATTTTCTAATAGTCCTGGCTATCTGCGGCACCTCACGAGAAAAACACAACTCCTACAGTCAAACCAGAAATACTGGTGGAAAGATGACAAAACATGCCTATGTTTTGATATATGATATATATATATATATATGCATTTCTTAAAAGTTGTCGTGGTAGGAATAGTTTGTTTGATGACTTTCTGAGTTTTCTTCAGGGACCTCTCCACCTTAGGTCATGTGACCTCATAGTGGCAGATGCATGCTGGGAAGAGTTACAACAGATGTTTTGAACAGAAAAAGTGGCGTCTTTGTTTGCATATTACGTAGCCATGGTAACTCAAAACGCCGAGCCGGTCGTTCTGATATAATATTTTTGGGGATAAACATTGCAGTTTGGGCTTAAAGTTGACGGAAGGGTAAGCTGTAAAGTTAAGACACCCTTGTTAGGTAGATAATAAGAGTTGGCTACCTTAAAAGGCAGTTCCCAATTAGAACTATCCATCCATTATCTTTACCCGCTTGTTTCGTTTTGGATCACGGGGGTCGCTGGTGCCCATGTCCAGCAATCACTGTGCGAGGGGCGGGGGACACCCTGGACGGGTCGCAAGTCCATCACAGGGACACATAGAGACAAACGAGACAAACAAATATTCACTCTCTCACTCACACTTAGGGACAATTCAGAGTTACCAATCAGCCTAACATGCATGTTTTTGGTCTGTGGGAGGAAACTGGAGCACCCGGAGAAAACCCACGCATGCACGGAGAGAACATGCAAACTCCACCCAGAAAGACCCCTGGACCGGGGTTTGAACCAGGGACCTGCTCGCTGAGAGGCAGCAGCTCTACCGGTTGTGCCACCGTGCTGCCCCAATTAGAACCAATAAATGTTTATTTATTTATTACATTTGTTGTCAAATTATATTAAAACCAAGAAAAAAAAATCAATCAGAAATCAAACTAAAACTAAACCAAAAAACAAAACAATTTAAACTTGGCTACAGATTAAACTATTTGGTAAAGCTACAAAGTAGGTTTTGGGATCTTTTGACATATGTTTCCTAAAGTAGCTTTGATGGGAGGCGAGTTCTAAAGCTGTGGGTGTAACTGGCCGATGAATAGTTATATAATGAAGGAGTAGCAAAGATTGTTCACCTAACTGGTAGATGATTTTAATTTTCTCAAATATAAAAATGTACAAAGGTGAGTCTGTAAAGAAACTTGGTTCTTAGCTATTAAGATGTTTTTATGTAAAGAAAGCTTTACAATCAGTTCTTAAAGTAACAGGATGCCAGTGCAGAGCAGCTGAAACTAATCCCCTGACACTCTCCGCTTGGTTTCTGCTGCAGAGTTTTGGATGAGCTGAACTCACCTTATAGTTATGTTTAAATAGATCAATACCAACTGCATTGAGGTACTTTAATCTGTTTTAACCAAAGACATGCAACAATAAAAAATAAAAACAAATTAATTAAAGCCTGACTAATGTAAGACATGAAGCACAAATATGGGTCTACAATTAACTAATTAATTAATTAGGGGCTGAGATGGGGTAGAGGCTGGGCAGCTGACCCGGGATCCCAAAGTCCCAGGCTCCATCCCCAGCCACTCGCCCATGTCGTGGTGTCTCTGAGCAGGAGACCAAATCCCCAATTGCTCCCCGGGTGCTTGCATAGCTGCCCACTGCTCCACCTGGGTGTTCCCAAGTGCAATGGGTTAAATGCAGAGAACCAATTTTGCCATTGTATGGGAACATACAATGATGACAACACATAGCACTTTAGTTATTAATTTTTATTAACACCCAAACATTTCAACTCAGAGTTTATCTATGGAGCTAGCTCATTCAGGTTATTAGTGGGCAGTTCTTTTTTGTTTTTATGGTCAGCAAGGGAGATTTTACATGTATCTTTGTTTTTATTTACTTGACTTTGAACTTTAGGTATATGTCAAATAAATCATATAAATTGTGAATAAAGTAATAATGTTTATTTGCCATCAAACTTGGCCTATTTCAATTTAATTCAATTCAACAAAGTCCATGCTCAATAATCCAGGTTTTCAATCCAACATTTTTCAGTCAGGTCATCTGGACAGTTTCTTTTTTTGTGCTGAAACGTTTCACCTTCGATCCAGAAGGCTTCATCAGTCAAGGAAACACACAACAAAACTGATCTGTTGGGGGAAGAATCAGTTTTGTTTTGTTTGTTTCCTTGACTGACGAAGCCTTCCGGATCGAAGGCGAAACGTTTCAGCACAAAAAAAAGGAAACTGTCCAGATGACCTGACTGAAAAATGTTTAATTCAGTTCAGTTTACAAATACAGTGCCAGTTCATCACACACAAACAAAAAGGTCTTAGAAAACCACACATCCAAACCTGTTCAGATTCAAATCAAGTTGCCTTCAATTTATCCATCGTCCATCCATCCATCCATTTTTTTTTTGTTACCAACTGTTTCCTTCTTAGGTTGTGGGGGAGCTGGTGGCTCTTTGTAGCAGTCCTTGCTCAGTTGGTGGGTAACATCCTGGACAGGTCACAAGTCCATCACAGCTCACTGATGCAACAAACAACTACAATACGTTATGAATTACCAGTAAGTAGAAAGGTCGTCTATCCAAGGAAGCCAGCAGACTGCGTCAAAGCTTGCACTTGGTGCAATCCCTCATCCTGAGCTACCACACTGGCAACGGTGGAATGACTCAATTTGAGGTTGAAGAACCTCCAGTAGAACCAGGCTTAGAATGGGCAGCCATCTGGCTCAGCCATCTGGGAGTTGAGAGTGCAGGAAAGAAACACAGACAAACAGAAGGATTTAATTTTAATTTAGAACATCTTGATAACTAAGAATTAAAATATTCCACACTAGAATTGACAAATGCGTGGGACATTTTTTATTTTTTTTTACTGCTTCATTTTGAGCAAGATGTTTTCAATTTTAGTATTATTGCATAGGTAGAAGAACGCGGTCCATGTCAAAGGTCACACTAAGTTAATTTACACTAATACTGAAGGCCAAGGAATTCCATAATTTATGTAAACACATTTGTTTTATATTAACACATTTAACACTGAACTGCCTCGTTTTCAGTGAGATAATGAAGATCATGATCTAGTTCTGAACTATAAAGCTCACTATGAAATACTTACTAAAGGCATTACTCTTACGTGTGCACATGTTTAATTGTTTTTATTCTCTATTACCCCAATAAAGCACAGACTGATACAAATGAAACAATTACTGTGGCATTATGTTGTAATCCAGTTCTCACTATGCTAGAGTTGTTGAACTTAAATAAAAGTCCACAATGCTACTGTTAACTGCAGTTTCCTCTCTTCACAGACATCTGAAGGACCTAAGTAAAGGACTACAATGTATATTCTGATGAGACTACCTTCCAGTGCTTATTCCCTCAGAAGCCTATTTTCATAATTCAGAAGTCATTGCAGACATTTCCCAGCTGATTGGATATGATGATAAGCAATCAGGCGTTGCTACTTCTGGTGCTCTTCAACCTGTGGCCCAGTACTGCCCTTCCTTTCATGCCTGGGAATATTAAGAATCTGTTTGGGATGCCAGAGAGTGATGGAAAGGTTCTTCAGCGTTCCAAACGAGGATGGATGTGGAACCAGTTCTTTCTGCTTGAGGAATACACAGGAAACGACCATCAATACGTCGGCAAGGTAAGGTGTCCAAATGCATTGTCTGTAGACTAATTACAGAAGGTTCAGCTTGCTGAAGTAGTGTTTGATGTAATTGGGTGGAAATGGATGGGCTGCCAGAAATCTGGCTGTTACGGGCAGAGTTAACTGGAGCAATCAGATCCACATGAGTGCATGCGGTTGCTCTCTCTTCTGCTTTCCACAGCACTCCTTATGCACTGTTTAAAATTGTCGTTGCATTTCTAAAATCAAAGGGCCTAGTAATAGTACACAACTTTAAATAATATTGTTTTAATCTGATTTTGTTCAGCAAATGTTTAAATTACAAACATAATTATTGCTCATTTGAAAGTAAGAATCTAGATCTTGTGAGTCGCTTCTTTTTGTCTTGGCAATTGTGAGAACAAAAAGAAGTCTGCATTCTCAAAGGCTGTTCTTTACACTGGTGTAACACAGGACTTGGTAAACCCTTAAATAAATAAATGAATAGACAAATAAATAAATAAAAAACACTGGACTTACAGCACTTTGGCTGTTTTTTGTTGCTGTTTTTAAGTGCTTTATAAATAAAGTAGTATTGGGATGGTATGGTGCATTCCAAAGGTTTAAATGTGTTCAACCTTTATTTACACAGGTTAGTCTCACTGAGTGAACATGTGGCTCAAGTACAATGGTGAATAGCTCACCCTTTTTTAATGTGTACAAGCAATACAACGTCTCTGCTGGTCCAAATGAAGGTTTGCATATTTACCATTTTGGAAGTAACTGTTGTGATGCTTGAAACAGAAGTGGCTGCACAGATGCACATGTTCATATTCAAAGATCACAGTGCTAGCTAGTGACCTGGCATGGGATGTAATGTGACAGGACTGTGGAGATAAGAACCAAAACTGAGTAAATAGATTTTAATGTTCAAATAAATGTGAATTTTGTCTTTTACGGACTCAGAGAGGCATTTGTTCTGGCTGGTGATGTGTGTCATCAACACACTCATCTGGGAAAACAAGAGCAAAAGTTGTACTGGAACAAAAATAAAATAAATAAAAATCACTGGTGATGCTGTTTTTAAGAACATTGCAACAAACGTCTGGAGTCAAAATAACACATGATCTTAAATGGAAATCTCCCCTGCTTAGGGACTGTTTGAATATTTAAATGTGGTATTTTATATGTGTACATTATATAGTTTTTGAAGGCTTATCAGATGTATATGTGGTTGTTTTTTTTTATTATTTTCCAAATGCATTTATAACATAATGCATGTATATGTTTATGATCTTCACACAAAGTTTATGAAAACAAAGAATGTACAACAAATTCAAAAAGCACATCATAACTGTGTTAACATGTGACATGTGCACAAGTAAACATTGGAAAAACTAACATTTCCAGAGATTGTCCATATTTGAACAGAGACTAAAACTGCGTGAGATGCTCTTTTTATTCATCTCCATTCACATGCAGATTACTCTCACTCGCCCCACAATGGAGACTCATCAGGTCCTTTGTTTACCTGGCTCACAGCAAAGATGCTTTGGTCACATGCATGAACATGATGGAGTGAAATTGTCTGGGTATCAAGCATAATGTTTGATAGTAAGTTAGGAATGTCAGAAAAAAACGACCTCATCTAACTTCACCCGACTTAAACATTTCAAGATAGTTGCTGCTCACATCAGCAGTGAGTAAAACTCACTTACTTTCACTGTTTTTGGCAGTTCAGTGTAATTTATTTAATATTAAGTCAGTCATCTTTCAGTACCTTTCAGTGTTTATAATGTATGACAACTTGTTTATAATGCGTCAAATATCACGTATTGCTCCATTATTGTCATTTTTATTGTTGTTAGCAATGATCCGATGTACTAGGGATAAAAAGAATGCAAGAACTAAATGGACATTTTTTGTTAGAATCACCGTAATCCATCATTAAGTTATGTTAAACTATGGCCACACTAACCTTCAACCAAACCTTTTCCAGAGCAGGCCTGATTTGTCCACGTTACAAACTTGTTCAGACCTGTAGACCCCCTCGGGGATCAGATCTTTGAACGACGTGTTAACAAAATCCTCCGCTCCTGCTGTGAGCAGACTCTTTGTGCAGAGAAACACCTTTTAATCCAAATCATTTTTGAAATGTGTCAAACCTTCTCTTTCTGGCACTAAATGCAGTCGGTTCAGTGCAGGGCTTCATTTGTATCGTGAGCAAAGAATAGAATCCTAACATTTATTAAAATTTACAATAGTCCCTTGTTTATCGCGGGGGATCCGTACCCTGAAGCCTCGCGATAAGTGAAAAAAACTTAGCCACCTGCAGGCGTTCTTGGCCACGCCTACTTCTTCCCTTTGCACGAACAGCTGATCAGCTGCAACAGGAAGCTTATTCCGCAATTTTGGCTGCACAAAGTTTCGGGTGCATTATATTATACCATGTTGTTGTTCAATGTCTTTCTTTAAGACATTGTAAATATTATAATTACTTTTTCACTTTTTGGTACTTTTTTTGTTTGTTTGTTTGTTTTGTGTACCCTTATTGCATGCTTTTAGTATTTCTTGTTGGTTTGTTCTTTAATTATTTTTAGTGAGTCAAATAGGTTCTTCTCATCCTAAGCATTTCATTGTACTGTTAACCCTGTTTTAACCTTACATATGACAAATAAACACAACTTGAACTTGAACTTGACTTGAGGAAGCTTTTTCTGCACATCTGGGCTGCACAAATGTGCAGCAGGTGCTAAATAATTTAAAATAATTTGTTATAAATAAAAATGCAATGCAGATCGTGCGGCTCATCCATCAATCAGCCATTATGTGTAGTGTACAATCTTATTTTGAAAAAAACGCGATAGAGCCAGTCCGAGATAAACGAACCACGGAGTAGCGAGGAACTAGTTTACTTTTGTATTTACCAAAAATAAAAAGTCACGATTGTGCTTTGACAAACTCATCGATAAAACTAAAACAATTTGTCAACGCAAAAGAGGAAAAGAGGGGGCAGGTATCATTCTCGCTTTGAGTTTATACTCTTTGTTGCATGCGTGCTGTGTGTGACAAGCGTGCAGAGCGTCATAAAAACAGCTCAGGTGTCAGTTATTTATCGTCTCAGCAGCAGAGGAGAGCGACACGGTTCAAGCATGGCTCCCCAAACAACAAGGCAGATTTATTTGTTCATAACTTTATTATTAGTCAGACTGAGAGTTGTCAGATCCAAGAAAACAGTGGGTGGAACGCACCCTGTCAAAACGAGAGAGTTCCTGGATCTTGTTCCGGCAGGATCTGGTTCAAATTAAGCCCTGGTTCAGTGTTTGAACCAGGTAGTTGAATGTCCAGGCTTTGAGTTTGTAACTCAATTTAGGTGTGAAACGTACCAGAATTTTATATTTGGAGAAAATAATTTTCAATCTAGTAACATATGATATGACAATATTTGTGCATTTGTTTTTCTTACTGTTCAGTTCATGGTTTTGTAATTTCTCTGATGACTTGCAAAAATCCAAGTTAGGTTATTTGCATGTTTGGCAGGATTTTTTTTTTTGTCTGATTTGTTTTGTGTTCTTTTTTTCTTCCCTAAGAATGTTTTGATCAAGGTGACATGAAAAACACATCAAACTAAAAATAACTAATAACTACCATAATTTTTGGAATATAAGGTACACTTAAAATATTTTAATTTTCTCAAAAATCAATAGTGAGCATTATAATCCAGTGCACCTTATGTATTAATTCTGGTTGTGCTTACTGACGTTGAATCGATTTTATGTGGTACAACGGAACAATATTGAGAGTTATTGTGAATGAGTTTAATAAAGTTTGACTTTCTGGCTCTTTTATTTAATTTAATACGTCTTATAATCCAAAAATTACGATAATAAAAGGCCTTAAAATGCATATCACAAGCTACCATTTTTTACTTTATAGTTTTTAAGTAAAATGGTATTTTTTTAATGAATTACAGAGTTGTAGCTGATTTGCGCAAATGTTGAAAACAACATTATGTGCAGTCTGATGAGCGGTTGCAAAAAGTCACACTCAGCTACTGTTACACCAGATTTTTAGCACAATGTCTGTAAAATACCATACCGTACCATAACACTTTATTTATAAAGCACTTAAAACAGCTACAAGGCCAACCAAAGTGCTGTACAGACAGAACAACAGGTAACACACAAAGCAAAATACAAAATGAGGTAAATCAGAATATAGACATAAAAACGATGCAAATAATGACGACTAACCAGTGTGGAGCATACAGGATCAAAACACAGATCATCTGGTGTTGAAAGCCACCGAACAGTAGTGTGTTTTTAAATGGGACATGAAAACTGAGAGGAAGGGGGCCTGTCTGACAAGCAGAGGTAACTTGTTCCAAAGTCTTGGTCCTGCTACAGAGAAGGCCCCGTCACCTCTGCGCTTAAGACGAGATCCTGGAACTGTGAGGAGCAACTGGTTTGCTGACCTCAGGGAACATGGTGGGACATACGGTTGTAGCAGATCAGAGAGATGGGAGGGGGGGGGGGGGACTGTTCAGTGATTTGTAGACATACATGAGTATTTTGAACTGGATTTGCCTGTACTGGTTAACAATCGGGCTGCTGCATTGTGGACCAGTTGTAGTCGTGCAATGGAGGTTTGACTGATACCAAACAGGAGCGAATTGCAGTAATCAAGCCTAGATGTAATGAATGCATGTATTACTGTCTCCAGGTTCTTTTTGGACAATATGGGCTTCAGTTTAGACAGCCGCCTCAGTTGGAAGAAGCGTGATTTAACAATCATGGTTACATGATTGTTAAGTTTCAGGGAAGGGTCCATTATCACACCCAGATTAGTGACTCTTTGTTTTTCTGACATGGTTAGAGCAGAGAGGTCGATGCAGTGGTTTGTGATCGTGTCGATGGGAGGGAACAACATGACTTCAGACTTCTTTTCATTGAAACTTAAGAAATTTAAAGCCATCCAGTCCCTGATGTCAGCGAGGCAGTCGAGCAGCGGTTGAATAGAGCATGTACCATTGTGTCTTA